TATCAGCATTATTTTCTAAACTGTTGAAATATCATGTACTTGCTCGTACAGCTAGTCTACGTTGAGGCAGGCCGCCGTGGCCGAAATTCGGTCTGGAGGACATTATTATTATTATTAGTATAAGGTAGTAATAAAGAAAATTCAAAATTTAAAAATATTTGTCTGCCACTCTGCCTGTTTGTTCTGGCTAATCTCCGAAATGGCTCATCCGATTTTGATGGGACTTTCATTAGTTAAAAGTAACTTCCGCTTTACAGTTGTCGACAGTAATAGTAATAGTTTAAATATTGTCGACAGTATGACTTGACCTAGTGCTGAAGATCGTGCAACCAGCTTGTGTTTTCTATTACCATACCGATGAACTACGTTCTTTTCTTTTAAAATTATTAATTCAAATTATAAATCAAAAAAGAATCGTGGTAGCTCAGATGGTTAGCGCTCGCTGTAAATTTCACAGTACGCGAGCAAACCGGGTTCTATCCCCGCCGGCACCAAAGAAATTGTTAATTGCAATTTTAAGTGCTGATTTACCACGTGCTCGGCGGTGAAGGGAAACATCGTGAGGAAACCTGCATGTCTAAGAATAAGAAAAAATATTTCGAAGACATCTGAAGTTCGCCGACACGCATTGGGGCAGCGCGGCGGACACTTCCTTGCCCTAAAACTCTCTCAGAAATGAAGGGTGGGCTGTGCCCAGCAGTGGGACGTTTATAGGCTGTAACTTAACCTACTTAAGTTATAGTTATAATGCATGCTCTGTTTACTAGTAAGTAGTCAAAACGCTTAGCTTAAGAAACTTTTCTATTATTTAAAATTGTTGTAAGTGGACTGTTAGTAAGCCATATGAATAAAATGAATAAATAAATAAACTTATCAACTTTTACTTTCGAAAGAGAATCAAGGTTATGCAAAAAAAAATTAAAACCTATTTAAATCCAATCGCAATAAAATCCACGCGAATAAAGTCACGGGGAACAGCCAGTATTTAAAAAAAAACTAGTTAAGGCGTTACTTCCGGCGAACCTTGAGCGTTCGCTCCTATACGTAAGAAAAACGCCCAAATTTTGGAATTATCTGAATTAAAAAAGAAAAGCGAACTTAAGAAATTAAATAAAACGTAAATAATATAGATTTTTAAATTATCTTTCCATTTGTGTAATCCTCAAATGATTAGAGCGTTGCTTTTAGCAACAGATGCATGTAATCAATAATTTGTCATTTTTTAAATATTCATTTTAAATGTGTTTATTACACATAAAAACAAATTAGACGGTGGAATGTGATAATAGGATATGGAACATTAATACAAAACTATTCTCATAACCAATGAGATAATCGTCTCTGAAAAACGCACTATCACAAGGTTTTGGTCGGGGTATCGCCTTAAGTTAGATGAAATAAAACACAGAATATGAATTGGAAAAAAATATATATTTATTTGGATAAAACAACAAAAATATCAACAATCTAATGGTTCATCTAACCGCTGCGACGTCAGAGTACATAATCATAATTGAAAATAACATTTTGCTTTCATTACATTACGTTCAAGTAACGTAGAAATTTTAAATACAATATAAAGTGTAATTATATAATATCAGAGACTTTTTCAAATTATTCACCAACTCTCACTGAAACTACCAAACTGGTAGATTACAACGTTCTCTAATAGTATATAACCTAAGTTAACCTACAAATAGAAAGGTAATAATACTTATACAATGGCAACATTAGCGTAGAATTCAAATATTGAACGAAATTCTACCAGAAAGTCTCACGAAAAATACTTTCGAAATTCCGTTCACGTGGTAGGAAATTGAAAATGGCAACACATATTCTTACCGAATTTGACACGCTTTTCTCCACTGGGTAACAGGAATTATTAAATAGGTACGGTGAACAACCAAAAAGTTTGATCGAGGTTAAATGATAACAAAAATATTTAACTAAACTCAAAAAAGGATAAAAATATATTCTCATTATATACTTTTGTGTGAATACACACTGTGATTTAATTCAGTGGTAGACCGGCACTTAGAGTCCTAAAATAAGTTCATAAGAAAAATCACAAACTTAATTTTATTATTAAAATTTAGTAAAATAATGCATTACCAAACTGAAATTTATTTAAAAACCTAATTAAAAAAATCATTTTTTCCATTACTATTTAGTTTTATTATAAAACTATCTTCGCCCCTTCTTAATAAAAAATATCTTTTAAATAAAATTTAAAAAAGGCACCTTCCCTCAATTTTAGTCCGCCATTGTTGTGATACACTTAAAATGTGAAAGATAACAGTAGAACACTATCGACCTTACTCATAAACAAACGTCAATTTAAGAAACGTAAGTTACTCTCTCTTTTTCACTAAATGACAATAGAAAGAAACAGGTATATAGATAATGAGTACTTAATTTAAGTAAGCGATAATCAATGATGCTCTCTCTCTTTTCACTAAAAGAGAATAGAAGGAGATAGGTATACATATAATTAGTACTTAATTTAAGTAGTGGTGATCACCGATAATAAGGCCGTATATAATTACTAATTTGAGGAAATTACACAGTATTTTGCATTTATCGGCTTAAAGCATATATTTCAGTAGATGACTCTGTAAAAAGAAACCGATAGCAATTGCACGAAAATGATGGACTCGATTCCCTGCTATTTCTCATGTAAGTCTAGTGGTTTTGTGATTGTTATTATAAAGGGAAAAATGTCATAGCTAAAGTTTGAGATATAATCATTTAACCGCCATCTTTTGAATAGCTAACAGCAATACCTATATTAACTAACTAACATGTTGAAAAATTGCCAGAATTAAATTCCAAAATTTACCGACCGGCGACTGGTCCACCAATCGCCACTCCACCCAGTCTGCCGTGGCGATCATGGTAAATCTTATCTTGGGATTCACTTACTTCCAGAATTGAACTATGTTTACACGCCAATTTTTTTTTGTTCTACATTTCGCTCTTAGCTTAAGCAGGGCCAAAAATGTATTAAAAGTGAAAAATATATTGTCTTCATACATTAAAAGCGTTGGCAAGTTTACTTAAATTATAAGAAGCCCGATTTTTATGTGCTTCCAATAAGTGACTTTGGTTTAATATTTTCGTATTCCTAGAAATGCTTAAGTGATGTGACAGATTATTATGTGAATTTAGGTACTAAATATTTAAAAATTACTAACTATTTTAACTATCTTTAATTATTATATGTACGTTTTCAACTGTAACTAAAAAGTGTAGATAGCATAAAAGGCGCTATCTGGCGGATGTTTTCAAAACTAACTACCGTTTTTCACAAGCACGCGTTTCCTCTTCAGTTACAATCAAAAACTTACAAAAGGGGCACCGTTTTTCATCTATGTAACATTTTTTGCTGTCCGTACCTTTGATAGAATACAAGAAAATTAATGCTAAGAAAAGATTCAACAAAAAATGATAATCATATCTTCATTTCATCTTCATTCATTCATTTTTATATACACGATGTCTCAATTCAGATATCATCTTGGAAAGGTAAATAAACAACCGATTGAAGTCATATTTACATCATATTTGTTTCATCGTGACGATGGTTCATAGCTATGCTATGTCAGGATCCCACAGATGGCACCGTAATCAAGTCATAAATAAATAGCGCTATCTACAATCAAATAATGGGTGCGTTTGGCAGAAAAAAGCGCTAGCAAGCGCTTACTAGCGCTGAAATAGTTATCGGCCAGGACACGATTGCTACTTCAGTAGCGCTGACACAATCCGCCATTTTGCTTATTTAATTTGTTTGTTTTGAAGTAGAGTTTATAAGTTGTTTTTTTGCAATATTAGTTTTAAGTAATATAATGACATGAATAGACATATACATGTTATTAAAAAATCATGATTGGTAAGTTTTTAATATGAATACTTTACAAAAATATATTTAAATTAGGTTAGGTTCCCCGGTTAAAACTAACATCGTGTCCTAGAGGAAAGTAGCTACTTACGATTTGACAGCGCTTACCGCTTACGATCGCCATTTTGCTTACAAGCGCTTGCTAGCGCTTTTTTCTGCCAAACGCACCCATTAATTTTAATTTTTTATGCGATCGTTGGTACGTCCGTTAGTGATCATGTAACTTCTAAACCACTTGATCGATTGAACTCATTTTTACACAATATATTTGTTTTACTGAGACAATGTTTCATAGTTACGTTAGGATCCGATAGGTAGTGCTGTAGTCGATTTGCTAACAAATTCTATATTTGTATACCAAAATTTATACAATTTATAAATGATAACATGTAATGTTCTGCCTGTGACTCATGTTTATCATTAGTTGTCTATTTAGTCTATTAACTTATTTTTAGCTCTAAGTAGACTAAAATGTTTTAAATTTGCATGACAATTATAAGTCAAACACGAGGACGTACCACTATGTTAACATTTTCGCACTACCAAGCTTAAAGCAAATAAAAATTTCTGATTTCTGATTTGCAATGACTCATGAACACAATATAATATGTTACTGCCAAAAAATTCACAAAATCTGGACCCGATAGGTGATGCCTGTGTACATAGTAAAATATAGTAAAAAGTCCGGATTGAGTTCAGAGTAGACCACCAGACTTATCACGCCACCTATCGGAAAGGGAAGAACAACGTCTGCCTAACCAACCAGCTTGAACTATGTAGTTATCTATAGCTTGGAACGGTGCAAAAGTACGTTATTATTATTATTTAAAAATATACAATAATATATAATATACAACAATATTTTATATCTCCTTTAATTTTAGACGCACAGTATCATAATTACAGCATATACATAATTAATATTATTAAATAATTCAAATAATCCATTTGACACGTTAAGGCACTAAAGGTACCGACAGCAAAATAAACCGTAATCAAACACAATAATCACCTCGCAAGAGAATCGACAATTAATTTTGGTCAACGTACCGGTAGTGTACCGAATCAAAATAGAAACGGCATAGATCTGGCAACACCTTCAGTCTTTGCTATAGAATAACCAGTTGAGTACGGCTTGCAACACCATTGCGAGGACGAAACCGCTGAATAAGTCCCACGTGTGGGACGTTGTTGGGGCTCTTGCCAGCGCGTGTGACCTCATTTCCAGCGAACGTTGGTTCTCACTTATAATGTTGACGGTTTTCGAGAGCCTCTCTATCGCTAGAGTTTGCTCTCGGAGTGTTGAGTCGATCGCCATCAGAGTTTGCTTGAGGGTGCGTCTGTAATAATACAAAATAAACATACTCATATCAATGAGGGTATTTATGACTTTTCCTGCCACCATGGCGGTGTCTTTTAGAAATGAGGTGAAATATTTGACGGATTTCATGGCGTGGGAAGTTAATTTGTTAGAAAAATGTAATGATCAATGTTTCTTTCTGTAATAGTTTATATTAATTAAACTTGTACGTGGTAGCTCAGATGGTTAACGCTTGCTGTAAATATAACAGCACGCTAGTAACCCGGGTTCGATCCCCGCCGGCACCAATGAAATTGTTAATTGCAATTTTAAGTTCTGATGAAATTTATACGTCGTAACGCCACGCTGGATCTATATCATAGTTGTAGCACGAATGGGTCGGCTCGATCGGGGAAGGACCACGCTCTCACAGAATACCAGCGTAAAATAGCAGCTTAATGCTACTGTGTTTCGTATGGTGAGTGTAGAGATCTGGACCCTTTTTTACTGCAAACGAGGCATTCCATCTTAATCCTCAGGGGTGACAACGCATCTGCATTTTGATTTTTAATTGAGGATAAATGTAGATGTCTACGGGTCAGATGAGTGTGATGGGCTAATGTGGGTGATGCTAGTGTGTAGAAATGACGGGAGGCTTATACATGTGTACTGAGCAGAGTGGAGTCGTTATTGGTAGCGCAAGATTTGCGTTGAGTGTAGTGACGTCAGTATGTTGCCTAACCTGGGAGTGTTTTGTTTGAGTGGTGACACCACTGTATGCACTGTGTTTGTTTTCACAAGAGTTTTTATAGTTTACGTGGGATAGTTATTGTAAGATTATAGAGTGTGGAGATGGACTCACGTGGGAGTATAATTGTGTATGAAATAATTTGACAATGTTACTATATAATAAATAATAATAAAAACATTTTTATTTCCTCTTCACAACAACAACAACTTATATGTTTCTAAAAAGCAAATTTATTTAAAAATAGAACTCCATAAGCCAATTGCTCAATATTTAAAAAAAAAGTTCTATCAATTTTCCTGCAACGCTTCCCGCGCTTTTCATTTAAAACGATGGATCTTAACTGTGAACATTTGCACGCTATGTGATCTATTACGATTTTAAATTTGGTTTGACCGAACAATTAAATTTACAACGGTTACAATCAGCATAAAGGAACTCAGCTCCATCACGCGCAACAATTTTTAGGTGGTTTGCTGAATTCAAAAGGGGTAAAATTAACCCTAAATATGACCAAAGAATCGGGGCCCCGCAAATAGCGTTACAATATTTATTTCATGTCAGTAACGGCAGAAATGGACTACCGAAATGTTGGTGCGAGAAGATCCACCAACCACATATACGGACACCGAAAATATTGTAGGAATTAGTTCGGGGAGCATTCTTACCATCCTACATCAACATCTTGGAGTGAGGAAGTTTTGTGGTCGACGAATCTTTCGTTTGCTCTCCGAAAGCGGAAAACAGACTCATGTGGATTGGTGCCAGGAAATGCGTGATAAAGTTAGAAATGAGGACATCCGCAGTAGAACCAGAGTGATCGACACAGCCCAACGGATTAGCAAGCTGAAGTTGCTATGGGCTGGCCATATAGCTCGAATAAACCGACAACCGTTGGGGAAAAAAGGTTCTCGAGCGGCAGCCTCGTACCGGTAGGCGTAGTGTAGGGCGACCCTCCTAGATGGAGTGACGACCTGGTAAGTAATGAAGGAAGTCGATGGATGCAGGTGGCTCAGGACTGTGCTTTGTGGCATTCCTTGGTGGAGGCCTATGTTCAGCAATGGACTTGTGAAGGGCTGTAATGATGAAGATGATGGTGGTGGTATACACAATATGGTTGAAAACAATCTGCGATCTTTGTAATAAGACTGGTGTCCTAGGCTAATCCAGGCCCTCGCCCTAACGGATTGTACATAATTATTTATCCGGATATTCTAAAAGAAAAATAACAAAATAACAAAATATTTCAACAAAGAATTACTCTACGTGTGTAATATTGTATGTATGTGTGCTTGCGTGCGTGTGCGAACAGAAAAGATATTACAGTGTTACAAATATGAAAATGTGACGTCAGTGTATGGACTTACGTAGAAGTCTTGGTCCGTCGGGCGAGATCATCCCTTGAATCGGAGTCCGAAGGAGGAGGTGGCTCCCGAAGTCTCTCAGCGCGACGGACACACGACGAGATCACGAACTCCTCCTCGTATTCCACTATCTCGTCCGGCTGCCATGGGCTGTGTGCGTAAAATTACAAACATTTCGTACTTTCCATTACTGTTTTTATAATATTAGTGCCACAAAACTCACGTAGATAAGAAAACCCATCAACTCATTGAAAAAAATAAAATAAAAAAATATTAATATATATTATAAATTACGTGTCACATTGTTTGTCCGCGATGGGCTCCCAAACTACTTAACCGAACTTAAAAGATACGATAGATTTTTTGCCCATGAGTGACCTACATTTTTTTTTGCAAATTTAAGGATTTTTAATAGGACATGACAAAGGGCAGAACAACGTCTGCTTGTCAAGCTAGTATATATATACATATATATATATATATATATATATATATATATATATATATATATTTGTATATGTATATATATACAAGGTGTAAGTGTAAACGCCGTTGCGACTAAAACCATAGGTAGTTGGCTTTAATATAAAAATTAAAAAAAACGCTATTTTCTTGCATAAAATTTAAAACAGTTTCTGTCCGACACCGTCCGTACATTCATGGATACCCTATGCGCCCGAGTGACGTAATCACTGTAAAGATCACCGCCTGCGCTAACTACCTATACAACATTCCAATAAAAACACAATAGGTACACATAACCTGTGATGTAACTTTTCCTTCATACTTTCATCCTGGCTTAGGACAGGCGAAAATTGAGGAATTAAGGAAAAATTGAGATTTTACTTAAAAAAATGTTGTTATTCTTCATTGAACTTACGTTCTATAAGTGAAACCGAACCACTGGTTTCAAGGATAACGGTGTTTATACTAACACCCTGATTATATACATTTATATACTTAATATAAACGTAGATACTGTTCTCCAACTTAAAAAAAAAAGAATATTAACAATGCTATAAACATTACTAATATTCCCTTAACCACTCGTGGTAAGCTTAAATTGCTTGTGTTACGAGTGGTTCACGCCAGTGGTCGAATGGCGGATTCGAACCCACGACCTTTATGAGTTCGCGGTCCGCGCCCTGCCATTAGGTTACTGTCGCTTTAACTTTAACTGGTTCCCTTGGTTTCATTCAAACTAGAATCTTAAGTAACAGGCTAGTTACATATGCCTAATGAGAATTTGCAAGCAATCAGGAAATCACCTACCATACAATACAGCCTGCTAAGCAAATTACAGCACGTGACTTAAGAATATTCAACACAATGCCATCAGGAAGTCACCTACCGCCTGCTGAGTAAAAACCATCACATCTTTAAAGATACGATTCAATTTACTTGCGTGACATAAGAATATTTAATATAGTATAAAAGCCAAGGTATAATTGTTAAGACAGCCCAGTAGTAATTAAATTACTAATTTTATTACTTTTTTTTATAGGATAGGGTGACAAACGAGCACACGGAGTTTGTAACAAAATTATCGTCTGTAACTTTTGTCCTATAGGATATATCTCCGATGCTTGTCATTTAGTCTAAGTGACACCGTCAAAAGGTCAAGACGCATTCGTTTCATTAATTTAAAAAATATTTTTAAAGAAATTATGCACGGTTGTGCATTAAGGTATTGTAAGTCACGATATGGACCAAAAAATGAACGTGGTTTCTGTTTATTATCGTAAGAATAACGTATATTTACCAAATAATCTTTAAATTTCATTATTTCTAGTAAATTGTTCTAGAACATTTATAATTATTGTAATAAGCGCCCTCTGTTATCCAGTAACGTCACTATTTATTTGCTAATATGTTAGTGACTGACGACGTGTCTAATGTCGCCTCTACACGTTGGCCAACACAGTGGCGAATGGAGTGGCGAATATATTGGCCGAGAGTTGGTGACGGCGTCCACACGTTGGAAGGTCGTTCAGTTTACTTCGGTTCGGGCCAATGTGCGGACGAATTTATAAAAGCACCGTGGCGTAGTGGCTCAGCAATGAGTGGCTGCACCGGGCGCCGCGGGTTTGATCCCGCACGGAACAAGTATTTGTATGTCCTACAAATAATTGTTTCGGGTCTGGATGTGTGTCCTTGTGCAATTTATGTTTGTAAACTGCCTGCGCGTTACGGGAAAAAATCCTAGTGTGGGGTTAACGTTTTTATAAAAGAATTATAAAATAATAGTGGATATTAATGGTGTTGTAAATAGATATACGATATACGATTAGCTTTATTTATTCTTTACATGCATCATAAACTGGAATAAATACCATTAATAAGAACTTAACTTATTTTAAAGTTAAAGGAGTTATAATCGATTAGTCTATGTTTTAAAATTGGGTTTTGATTCTAAAGTTTAGCAAAATATGTACCTACTTGCATTTCTATCAGACATTTGATGTATTAAAACACCTTATAATTTATTTGGTAATTTAATTATTTTTTGAGAAAGACAAAAACAATAGCAATAAATATAATTAACACTGACTTAATAATAGGTACTAATTATAACTTAGAACATAAATGAAAAACTCATGACGAGCAAAGTGGCTCAGGACCATGCTTTGCAGCAGTCTGTGGAGGAAGATGTTCAGTAGTAGGACTTGTGAAGAGCTGTAATGATGATGATGATTCGAAAACTTGCACGATTAAATTATAAGAAATCGACGCTTTTTATATAGGATAGGGTGACAAACGAGCACACATTCCACCTGATGGTAAGTGGTTGCTGAGGCCCACAGACATCTACATCTATCTTCGATTATGAATCAAAATGCAGATGCGTTGTCACCCGTGAGGACTAAGATGAAATGCTTCGTTTTCTTTAAAAAAGTGTGTCTGGTTTTCTACACTCACTATACGAAACACAGCATCATTAAGCTACTATTTTACATTGATATTCTGTGAGAGCGTGGTCCTTCCCCGGTCGAACCGACCCATTCGTGCTACAACTATACTTCTAATATAACTGCATGGTTCTACCACGTATAAACGACGTGCTTCATTTTTTTTTTTTTGATTTTAAAATTGTTCTCGTAATAATCTGATTGCAAATAAATGTTCATTATTTTTTTTTATAAATAGCTTATCGATTAAAACAAATGTTTAAAAATAATTAAATCGTGCGAATTAAAGTAGTAGGAATGTTTAAAGTGGAAATTGGCACTAAAAGGCTGGTAATTGGGTCATCCACCCTACAAAGCGTGAATATAAAATTTTAATCAGATGCGTGTAATCACTCTGGGAGCTTGTAGCAAACTAAACGCGCGGCCAACGTGTGGACGCGGCGACCAAACTCTGCCAACAATCCTTTGATCTTTTGTAAAAAACCGACACCACACGGATCTCGCGCCAACTTGTGAGCCATCGTTCCAATGCATACCAATGAAGCCCAAACACCCCGTCTACACGTTCGCCAATGCTATTGGCCACTACATTCGCCACTGTGTTCGCCAACGTGTAGAGGCGCCGTAAAACGGATTTTACCTTATATTTAGTAGCGTCACCTAATGGGGAATAGCTAAAATGTTTTCCTAATAAATATTCAGCGTAGTAATGCTATGTTTCGCTAGAGGGCGTAACACACGCGCGAGCTCATATGAAAATGCTCGCAATGTCCGCTCTAAAGTATATATTTAAATCTCTTTGGTTTGTAAATAGTCTGGTATTCCCGTGCACTCACATCGTCACAGTAGTTAAGTTAGCTTGCACGTTAGAAAATAAAAGTAATATAGGAAAAAGTCTTCGTCTCCTTCCACTTCAACCATCCTTAAGCTGCCGAAAACGTAAATGACTTGAGAAAAGTCTTGGGGTACATAAAGATCGTTTTAGAGAGGCAAGGAAAATTAATTTACAACTGGGATTCTTTAAAAAAAATTCATAATTTAACAAATAATCGTGCAAGTGTTATACTATTTTGGAATCCTTATTAAATTCGCTAACTTTTAAAGTTTGAATGAAAATCAAAATCGATGAAGCCATTTTCGAGTTTTTGCGAGGCTGACGGATTGCAATTGATTTTCGTATATAGAGATAAATAAGATAAGCACATAATAAATAACATCAAAATAACTCATATTACAATATTGGTGGACGCGCCAGGAGTCGCTTTCTGCCCTATCTTACATAGTCTGTTTATATCATGGGAATTGTGTGTCATTTGATTGTTGTTGTGATACCTCGAGCTGCATATTCCTTCAAAATATGTGGCCTCGAAACCAGCATTTTAATTATTATTATGGCTCATTAGAGTCATTAGAGACGTATTATCAAAAAAGGAAATCAACAAATTTTGACCCTACTTTCACTCTAGATGGCGTTGTGGTTAATTTATTGATAAATTTTAATTTTATACTAAACAGTTCGTACTGAAACTTTCCGCGCCATCTACCGGAAAGGACAGAACAACATCTGGAGTACCATCAATAATATCACTAAAGTACATACCTCGTATTGACGTGCTGATATCTCCACCCCTGATCGACGATTCCTAAAAAGGTAAGAGATTGAATAAAGTCACATTTTTTTATTATTCAATTTAAAACAAGTGGTAAAATTAAAAATTTTGCACAATCGACTTCAATGTAAGCTCCTAAATAAAATGAGAATATTTATTTGACTTCTACGAATACTGACTAGTGCACATACATCATCAATGTAGTCGAAGTCAATTAAATACGCATTATTAAGGATAAATCAAAAACTACTGACCAGATCTTGATTAAATTTATATGGGACGACTTGAGGAGCACCAGCCTATGTTGAGCAGTGGACTTGTGAAGGGCTGGAATGATGATAACAATGATAATGAATCCCTTTATCATCTCATGAGAGTCGTAAGAGGCTACATAAGAAAATCGAAACAGGGAATCGGCAGCATCATCATCCAAATAACAACTTAAAATAATAAAAAACCGCGGCTGCAGAAACTGTGGCAAATATCTCCCCAAAGAGGCAGTTTATAGGGGAGTCCTATGTTCAACAGTGGGCTGATAATTTTGAAAAGCTTTGTGATAGGTTACAAAGTGATGCGAAACCAATTTTTTTATATAGAATATCAACGAGACGATCAACGAGCACACAGTCCACCTGATGGTAAGTGGTTGCTGTGGCCCATAGACGTCTACATCTATCCTCGATTACAAAACAAAATGCAGATGCGTTGTCACCCGTGAGGACTAAGATGGAATGCCTCGTTTCCAGTAAAAAGGGTCTCCGGTTCTCTACACTCACCATACGAAACACAGCAGCATTAAGCTATTATTTTACGCTGGTATTCGGTGAGAGCGTGGTCCTTCCCCGGTCGAGCCGACTCATTCGTGCTACAACTATACTACTAATATAACTGCAGCATGGCTCTACCACGTACAAAATATTTTCTTACAGGTGACCACTTTCATTTTCCACCACAAGATGTCACGCAAATCGTAATCTATCACGAAAAGACAACAATAATTTATCACAAAAACGAGTTAAAAATCAAGAACCTTCTGGAACAGCGCGGACATCTTTACGGAACAAACGCGGCGTCCACGGCGACAGTAAACCTTTAGCGTGAGCCCTCTGCGCCTCCTCGATTATTGTCTTCTGTTCCGTCGCTGCCACCTGGAAATTAAAATATAAATATTAGGAAAATTCAGAAGTACACATCTCGAACGCTCATGTAATGTTTTGAAGTACCTGGATGACCGAGCTTTCCTCGGTATTTTTTTTTTTTGGGAAATCATGTGTTTTGGAAATTATATTTAGATACAAATTACATATTGATGACACATGAGTAATATTTTTTGATCTTATTGAAAAAACTGAACTGGTTATTTGAATAAAAAACAATGTGCAATTAGTTTAATTTAAATTTTCGTATTTAAAAAAAAATACTAAAAAAAGGGCTCAAAATAATAGATTTTCTCACAAAGAAGGGAACTTGAAAAAAAAGGGGGAAAAAGTCGGACTGAAAACAGGACGCGAACCAAGTCACTCCGACCATCCGATATCCCTCTTGAGCTATTACGATCGTTGATACAGTGTCAAAATTTACCTTCTTATAGTAGTTTTTCATTGCCTGAAAACACGGACAAAAAGACATTTTCTAAAAATAAATCCTAGCTAGATCGATTTATTGCCCCCGAAACTCCCTGGACACTAAATTTTATGAAAATTGTTGGAGCCGTTTCCGAGATTCCGATTTTATATATATACAAGAATTGCTCGTTTAAATGATTTGATGAATAATCAATTTACTTTTATTAATTACCAAAACACGTATTTCGTTTACAATTACAAAAAATTGTTATTAATTAACATGAAATTTTTTTGACTGCTTAATACAGGTTATTCGTATTCTGCTACGGAAAAAAAATTCAAATATTTATGATTGGGACAGTTTACAGTAGTGAAAATTCAAAAGCCTTCCTAAGGATTAAAATCGAACGCTAATAAAAAAAACATCAAACTGATAAGTTCAGTTTTTCGAAAGATATCTTGCCCACATCCATACCGACCAATTGACATTCATGTGAAATTATTTTCAACTTTTTTTAAATAATAATTGAAATAAATAATCGTATAACTACATCAATAAATGTTTGAGTTTGAGTTTGAATAATATTCTATAAAAAATCTAAAGTATGATTTGAAATCGCTTGCTATTGGTGTATCTTATTTTAATATATAAGTGCAATTTAAAGCTGGTGGAAGTGGTTTAAGTTGAAGGCATCGCGACTTTTTGATTCGATGACAATAGAGCACTATATCCCCTTTGTGTTCGATAGCCCTCTCCCAAGGTATGCCACAAAGCACATTTCTGAGCCACCTGGATCCATCGCCTTCCTGCATGTCTTACCAGGTCGTCACTCCATCTAGTGGGGGGACGCTCTACGCTTTGCCTACCGGTACGAAGCTGCCACTCGAGAACCTTTTTCCCCATCGCTTGTTGGTCTTTCAAACTATATGGCCCATTTCCATTCATTTTCATTCTCATTTCTTTTTCTTACTTGGTAGAGCCACGTAGTAGTAAAATTATGGTTGTGTCACAAATGAGTCGGCTCAACCGGGGCAGGACCACGCTTTTACAGAATACCAGCGTAAAATAGCAGCTATGCTGCTGTGTTTCGTATGGTGAGTGTAGAGAACGGGAGACCCGTTTTACTGGAATCGAGGCATTCCATCTTAGTCCTCAGGGGTGACAACGCATCTGTATTTTGATTCTTAATCGAGGTTAAATGTAGATGTCTACGGGCCACAGCATCCACTGGTGTTTAAATGTGGTTTCGATTCTGTTTTGTTTAAAAATATCTACACCTACGTGGTAGATCCAAGCTGCAGCTATATTATGTTTGTAGAACGAATGGTTTGGCTCGACCGGGGCAGGACCAGGAACTCACAGATACCAGCGTAAAATAGTAGCTTAATACTGCTGTGTTTCGTATGGGGAGTGTAGAGATCCGGAGTTCCTTTTTTACTGGAAACGAGGCATTCCATCTTAGTCTTCAGGGGTGAAGCATCTGCGTTTTGATTCTTAATCGAGGATAAATGTAGATATCAATGGGCCACAGCATCCACTTACCATCTGGTGGACTGTGTGCTCGTTTGTCACCATTATTCTATGAAAAAAAAAACTTCAGCTTACTAATCACCGCTGCGCGTTCGATGGGTGCTATATTAATAGATTAATAAATTTATAGGTGTTGCAAGCATTCTTAGTTCCCTCTTGAACGACTTGATCTACACAAATAAATAAAATTGAAGTGTCCGTATCTAACATTGATATAACTGTTGATGTTGAGCTGAGAGGGTCATTTGTATGCCATTTTTCGTATAGAATAACCATTTTACTTACCATGAACAAAAGCAATGATTTCGTTTGGGAATAAAGCTTACAAATCAATTAAGGCGATACCTAATACATACATACCGAACTCGATCTTGGCGCTACAATATTCGCGTAAGAAATACGTACAAATTTTAATTTTTTAGTCCTTTGAAAAAATTAAATAGATCAAAATGTTAATTAACAAATTGTCTATCCATTAGTGTCAATCGCAAAATAAAATAATGCTTACTTTATGAGGTGATGCATGTTATCAATAATTATTTCGCATTTCTGTGGTTTAGTTGTAGGAAGATTCATCAAGTATATACTCCTTTTGAAAAAAATTGGAATTGGCAATTATGGAATCAAGATTATGTAGAAATTTTATAGATTTAGCTCTTAAAAACCTTAAAAATAACGAAAAGCACGGCATTTTGCTCAAACACGCACATTGAATCGGAAGACATCAATTCACTGTGTAGTGGCAACAGAATACTATAATACATACATGATAGAACGGGGGAGTGGGCGGAACCCGCGTAGCCACTAACATGTCACTAACACGTCGATTCACACGAGATGTGTTTTGACGTTACAGTCGTTTCCAAATTTCGCATGCAAATTATTTAGAAAATGCCAAATTGCACCCTATTTACAAATAAATATGTATAAAAATCCGTCTGTCAACACAGCGAATCGGGTTTTTAGTAGTGACGAATAGATAATACGACGTAATTGCTTGTATGTGTGCTCCCGGCGACGCCTATCCTCGTACCTTCGTCTCGTCGCCAAAGACGGTTTCGTAATATTTTAAAAAAATTGAAGAATTTTAAGCAAATATAGTTTTAATTTTTTAGGTAATCTCATTGCAATCTCGATGGGCCATATATTGGTAATAATGTCCTAAAAGCAGAATTTCGTTCACGGCGGCCATTATCAAAGGAGACTAGCGTATACGCAAGCTCAAGGGCCATGAAGATCTTTGGGACTCAGCATTCACTTACCATAAAGTATTCATAAAACAATAATCTAGTATAAGTTCCTCACCTGGTCATCATTTAATATCGCCTCGGAAACATGCATCCAGAGTCTCTGCGACTCGTGCTCCTGTTGGTGTTCCAGCTTCATTAAGTATCTCGTCATCCGCTGTTCCTTGAGAATTCCTACGTCTAGAAGGTTCGACTCTTCCTGCAAAAAAATGATACAAAAGTGTTTAGTAAAAATAGAGAGAGACACACACAGAGAGAGAGAGAGAGAGAGAGAGAGAGAGAGAGAGAGCAATTTTAAGCCTACAACTTTAATTTGATAAAATTATATATAAATAATGGACCTTTATGTAATTGTAACCATTATTTACATATGCTGCAGCAATATTATGTGCTACAATCACCAATGGATCGGCTCGACCTGGGGAAGGACCATGCTCTCACAGAATACCAGCGTAAAATAGCAGCTTAATGCTACGGCGGTCTTAAGAAAGGGACGTTCAGGTTGGCAAATGTGAGGCAGGCAATGGACCCACGCTGGGCTGCGGGCGAAAACAACGGACGCAGCGGTGAATACATAGCCGTGTGACGTCACGACCGGATAATATCCAATATTTTTGTAGAAGTATGTATTGAGTACTTTGTGCACCGGCATGTAAGCGAAATACGTGAGTGTATTTAATAAGTAGAATCGTTAAAACTCCGTACTCATAATCGGTATTCCCGGATAGTTTTCCTCTAAAAACGAGTAAAAATCAACGTGTGGACCGCAAAACTTAGAATTCGAAGGCTCGCGCAAGCTCGATGAAATCAAAACTCAACGACAAGCAAGTCAAGTGTTAATTAAGAAATGGATTTAAAAGTCTATTGCAAAGGGGATATCGAGGAATTTATAAACTTATATGACGTTTTTATATATATATATATATATGTGGTAGAGACATGTAGCTATATTATGGTTGTAGCACGAATGGGTCGACTTAACCATGGACCACGCTCTCACAGAATACCAGCGTAAAATGTAGCTTAATGCTGCTGTGTTTAGTATAGTGAGTGTAGCGATCCGGAGACTTTTTTTATTGGAAACTAGGCATTCCATCTCAGTCCTCAGCGATGACAACGCATCTGCGTTTTGATTCTTAATCGAGGATAGATGTAGATGTCTATGGGCCACAGCATCCACTTACCATCAGGTGGACTGTGTGCTCGTTTGTCATCCTTATTCCTATAAAAAAGACATGCGATTGTTTATGAACCGTCAAAAGATTACTATGAATTACTTATTCTTGCTAAATGCAGCCGCTGTCTTCTTTGTTCAACAGATATTTTTTGTATTGTGATTGATATTCCCCTCGTGATTTTTATGTACATGTTTGCACAATCGAGTAAAACCGTATGTGAGCATGGAGCGTAAGCGATGTTTTTTTAGGTAAAATTAATTTTTAGGTGTTTTGAATCATATGGTAACAGGGTCTTATGTATCCTCCCACCTATATATATATATATATATATATATATATATATATATCCCATATCCCGAACTACATGTTATATAAGTAGAGAACCAAATATATATATATATATATATATATATATATATATATTTATTATATATATAACCATATGAAATAAAGGGTATTTACTGGAAACAAGGTATTCCATCTTAGTCCCCAGCAGTGACAAAGCATCTGCATTTTGATTGTTAATTGAGGATAAATGAAGATGCCTTTAGGCCACTTACTATCAGGTGGAATATATGCTCGTTCGTCAATCTATTCTATAAATTAGAGCTCACCCCAGTCCTCTTGTCTTTGATATCAATTCTGCCGTCCCAATAACCTTCAACAGTGGCAATCGTATCCTTTCCTTTCTTGATCCTGCCGGAGATCGCGTTTGTCTGATCAGCGCCACCTAGGAAAGACTGTAACAAACGCTTAGATTAGATTTTTGGGTGAACATAATCCGTCTTACTACAAAAAGTGAGTTATTAATTCGATTTAGAGTTATTAATTCGATTTAAACTATCGTTCGGTTCAAATTGTAGTTTATGCAGTCTTTCTATCTAAAGACCTTCTTTACTTAAGGTACTTATTTGAAAGATGATTCATGAAATTTGACATTTGCTGTCAAACTGCATACTTTATATCTTAGTTCATTTATTCCCGCGAAACTTTTTCGTGAAACAAATTCTGGTTTTCGGTTAAGACTAATTATAAACTGATTTTAATATAACGCCGTTTAAGTTAATTTTTAGTACGTACTTCTTTTTCATCAGCTCGTAGAAGTGCGGCCCTCTACGAGCTGAAGACGGTTTAGACGTTTTCAAGCTACTGGACGGGAAATGATACGATATTAATATCACAGACGAGTACATCACTCACCTTTAATTTTCCGACGATAGTCCTTATGGCAGAATCGCTAAAGGACCTAAACACCTATGCTCAAAGACTTCAATAGAGTCTCCCAACGTATAAATCCTAAGATGAACATAAACAAAAAAAAGGTCATGTGTAACGTCTATGTCCCACTTATGGCGGTAGTTGTAGGTTTACCTAGGACAAATAGTCCGACCAGGTTCACTTTAATGAGACAAACTAATTTCTCTCGCTAAAGTAATGATTTGTCTTGATTTCTGTAACTGCCGACCTTGTGCGAGCGCGCTTCACTGAGCCTGATACATGCGGCTGGTGCGAGCGTGTTTTATAGCACTTATTTAACTAATTTTAAGTGCCGTTTTCGAAAAATATAATATCTAGAATGGTGAATAACTGTTATAGTTATATTAGTTACTAAGTAAAATTGATTATTTTTGTTTTATCCGAATGCGAATACATTATATAATTAAAAAAGAAAACTGAAAAATATATAAAAAAAAAAGTCACGAAAAAATTTGCAACGCAACACTTGTAAATGTGTGTTTCTTCTTGTAGAGATAAAAAATGTTCTTGTTCAACGTTTTTAACTTATAATTATGTACATAATGTTAAAGAAATGATAATGAGTATTGTAATATCCAACATAATTTTATTTCCTTTTCGTGACGAGCCTTAGCATACACACTGCCGCGTAAATACATACGCGGTAGGGTAAGCGCAGACCGAGCTGCAAAATGCTCGCGCATGCTCGAGCAAAATTTTGACTACTCGACCATGCAGGCGGCATCCGCGCGCCTCCGTGAGCAAGATCCATTAAAAGTGCTCTGGGTTGCTAGGGGGCGTGCATTACCAATTTGATGCCAAAATCCGACGTTGATAGACGTGTTCAATACGATGATCGGTGACGATGAGTTGGTGATTACCGCCCTTTTGGCAGAGAGAGGAACATAAAGAACATATTAATGAAATCAGACTTCAGAAAATTAGATAAACAGTATGGGTAGAAGAAACGTGGAGATTCTTTCCCAAGCATTAGCTTTTAACATACGATCGCTGTATGTTGGACATGATATATTGTACAGGCACTCAAAACGCTACACCAAACTTATCAACTTTTCTTCATCCATGATTCCGACTTATGTGACGCGCTTATAGGTATAAACTAAACACATGTCGAAACAGTTTTTTGGCTGCGGCAATACTGAGCGCGGGTGGCGGCGGTGCGTGCGCGCTCGCGCATGCTTAGGATGGTCGAGCATCAAGTTTGGGCGTGTATATAATTTTGCACTGTCCGTCAATAGTCATAAAATTAATATTTTAGTGTTCTCAGAAAATGCTCTGCTCTGCTCTGCTCTTGGAGTGCGCTGACCCGTAGACATGTGTCAATCATGAATGATTCGTTCGTTTGAGCTGCTACACTTAAAAGTATTGATGGTTCATTCACTTGTTTTTGAATGTTCCGGAACAACCAATCACAAACAATTGACGAAACCTTTTTAACTCGCGATTGGTGTTAATTGTGAATGAGTCGAAACCCAACCGAACCCCGAATGATCTGAATGAACTGTTTTTAGTGTAGGGTACTGGAGCCCGAAATGATCCATTTGGATGATCGATCCGAATGTACCGGTACGCGTGACGAAATGTACTAGAATGATTCGGTCACGAGTAATGAATGGTTGACACATGTCTAATGTAAACGCAGGCGGCGGCATCGCCGGACATCAAAGGCGTTACACAACTGTAAGGTTTCACAGTATTCACCTATTTAACATTTGGTGTTGTAAATTTAATACATTTCGCTTTATTATCGTTGAAAAGCAAATTGTTGACGTTAAACAAGTGTACTTACGTTGAATATAGTATAATTCACCTTGTCACAATTTGTGCCGTTTAAATCGGAAAATCAGATTAAAAAAAATAACTGCGGCTGCTAACTCGCCTGCCAAGCTAGCAACTATGAAAAACACCTCCCCCCCCCCCTGAAGTTGAAGTTACAGCCTATATTCGTCCCACTGCTGGGCACAGGCCTTCCCTCATTTTTGAGAGGGTTTTAGCAAGGAAGTATCCGACGCGCAGCCCCAATGCGTGTTGGCGAACTTCACATGTCTTCGAAATATTTTTTTTCTTATTCCTCAGGGTTTAGTTCAGTGCATTCAGTTTACTCATGATGTTTTCCTTTACTGCCGAGCACGTGGTAAATCAGCACTTAAAATTGCAATTAACAATTTCATTGGTGCCAGCGGGGATCGAACCCGGATTACTCTCGTTCTGTTAAAGCGAGCTTATACGGCTACTACGGCTCTATCCCTTCCCCCCACACTAGAGGCAACCAATAGAGGAGGTCCATGTTCAACAGTTGACCTTTGATACGCTATAACGATAAGGGTATAACAACGAAATTTTCACTTACACGTAACTTAAACTCGACGTCAGCTTGATAGCCCGTGTTCTGACAGATTATGTGAACCTGGAAGACAGAGATACATAGGACATATATTAATTGTGGTATTAAACATTTTGTATAGATTGAAAAGAAAGGAATATATAATATATAAGTAAAATAGGTATAGCAAACAGTTTGTTTTTCACTTTTCCATTTGTTGTTGTAATAAGCCCTATTTTTAAAAAGTCGATATTTCAACATCTCTTCAAGTTTCGAGTTATATCGAGTCGGACTTTATTTTTAAAATCTAAGCGTAGTAGCGGTAATTGCGTGCGTGCGTTTGTGTGCGTGTGTGTATGGGGCCGTCCATTAATCACGTGAGGCTCGAAAGGGGGGGGGCTCCCCCCGGGGTTTGACAAAAATCACGAAATTACAAGGGGGGGGGGGGGGGGTATTGTAGTAAGATTATCACGTGTATTTATTTTTTCGTCGCACGTGCGATTTATAAACCGAAAAGCGGCGTGTACGTCACCTTGACTCGCCTGTACATGTAAATTCATGTCGCAAGCATGAACCTAATCCGAACAATAATAGTCTAGAGATGCACAATGTTCGTCCTTTACGCATCCTCACGCAAAGATCGATTGGTGGATCGAGAGATTCTCTGCGTAGTGCGCGAAAATGATGACGCCGAGTGGCTTGATGATACCGACGCTGATCTTCAATAAAACACAGTGCCAACAACTGACTTGCAAGATGCTTATCCAGTTATTAGTGTTGAAAAAATTCTTGCCAATTCGTGGTCCGAGGACAATGTATATTAAATATGTTCATGTACTAGTACAATATTAAATTTATTTAATTTTTTAACAAGTTATAGATAATACAGAGGATATAATATGATACAACATAAGCTTAATGAAAACTTTACCGTGTACCACAAGCCGCCGACATTAAAAATTGACATATAAGCTACACCTTAATCTACAAAATGTGTATAACGCAACACTACTAAACAGCAATTGGCATGGTCAACACGCGGTAAATCGGCAATATATACGTAGTTATCTAATAGTGCACAAGAAAGGTGTGAGTCGATGTAGATAATGGTTAGTTTATGGGTATTCCTGTTGTTGCGTATACAGGGGGTGATTAAAATTTAGGTTTTGTTTCTATCAATTAGTTAGTTACTTAATATTTAATAGTAGACGAATATGATTATTCTTAGATTGTATGTCATATAGGTATATTTAGGAAATATAGTTAGTGGAGTTTTTTTATTACTTTTTTTTTAAAGTCTGATATAGACAGTTCGTATAATAGTTATTTTAATTTGTATTTAATATTTTTATGATTGTATGTTCATATACTATAACAATATATGTTTTTCGCATGATTATACCTTTCCTATAACGTTATTTTTATGCCAGTTAAAAACAACTTGCAACCTTTCTGTCTAGACATTTTTACCATGATCCTTAATTTAGAATAAAACTAGATTATACTTTATAGGTACTAAAAAATACACGTGATTTTGGGTAGGGGAAGGGGGTAGTCTTAAACAACACCACGTATCACCAAGAGGAAGGTGTTAAAAAAGGCTGAAAAAACATCACGTGATTAATGGACGGCCCCCAGGTGTTCGTACGCTAGTAACATTTTCAATTTTCGCTCAATCGCATACATATCCGTTCAAATCTTCATTTTAATTATATATGTAGGTTTTATTTAGAACAATAAATGTATATAATAAGTCAACAATGAGGCCCGACCGAATCGGTACCACACTCGTTTATTTGGTAAATCGACAGTTTGTTCATTAAAAATTAATTGTAAAATAAAGTTAAAATAATAATACGAATGAAATAATTTATATTTACTACAAGTCAATTTTTGAATAAGTTAATTATCTATAATTATCAATCGGTATAATTAGTTGAGCATTTCATGTTGATGTGCCCAATATAAGTCATAACCTGTGAACCGTAAACGTGCGTACAAAATTAACTTATATGTATAGTGTGATCAATCGAATGCAATTAAGCATTAAGCATTTACACATTCATTGAATACGAGCATAAAATAGCAGCTTAATGCTGATGTTTCGTTTAGTAAATGTAGGAATTGAGACATTCCATCTTAGTTCTCACGGGCGACAACGCATCTGCATTTTGATTCTTAACCGTGAATAAATATAGACGTCTATGGGCCACAGCATCCACTTACCATCAGGTGAACTGTGTGCCCGTTTGTCATCCTCATACTAAAAAAATTGTACACACATTGTACACACAGAATGGAAATATACCAATGGATAAGGAAAGCATGCATCCAAATAAAGAATCCATCTATGATGCACTACAAAAAAGAAAAATTTGAAACTTCGAATCTCATTGTAAAGTGAATGATAGTGAACCTGAGCAGACCAACAGGGAACCTGAGCAGAACACCCAAGCATAACCTGAATCTAATGACAACTCACCTTTCCTCCCAGTTCCATACTAAGCGTGCCGATGACGATGCCCTTGCAATGTGCATACGGGGCGGTGGTGACGTACGTTTCGCCCCAGTTTAGGAGGTGGATTCGAGCGCATCCCTCTAAAATAGCAGACGTCGAGTTACCTAAAACAAAAAACACATTTAGAGCCGGAATAATGATACTGAAGACAGTTTACGACGTCTCGGGTTCGAATTCCTGGTCAAGATCTAATCAGTTAACGATGCAAAAAATTCTCAGTAGAAGCCCGGAGGCAAATTGGCGGTGTTTCACCAACGCGCGTCGGAAGGCAATTAAAGCGGTTTGTCCTGCGTCTGTATGGACTAAACGCCGATCGGATATCTCCAACTGGAAGTGTAAATGTGAACAGCCAAAGTGTGCAAGCGAGATGCGAACAGACGCGACATCACTTGTAATGAGATACTTTATCATTAATAACTTACAATATATTTACCTAATAGAGAGAATGCCCCTTATGACCTTCTGACCCCCAGAACCTACGACCCTTTGACCCCCTACGACCCCATGACCCCTACGACCCCCTGACCTATAACTCCTTACGGGGAAGGCCTATGTTCAATAGTGGATTTTTATAAGCTGTATAGGATGGATGAATGAAATACATTTACAGTTATTTATTATCATTTTAATTAGGTTGTTAGTTTTTGACAATTCATTGCAACCATATCCATATTTCCACTGCTACGGCGACGACTAATACAGGCATGCATAGAAGCGGACATAAATATACCATCCAATATTAACCACTTTTTGGGCTCAGTCGCAGTCGGGTAACAAAAGAAAGATAATTTTATTTTTCTTACCGTAAAATTTAGAGCGCGCTAGCAAACTCCCTTCTATAACAAAGCCATCCTTTCTATTTGAGACGTAGAAGGCCGAAATTGGTGGGTGATGAGATACCTAGAAAAGTATAAATAATGATTAAAATTAAAAGTAGGTATTAAGCATCGATATAAATGACAAGTTATGGACTTGCAAACAAAAATTTTTCACGGTTTAAGCATAGAATAAATCGGAGCCATCACTTAAATACTCATGAACTACTACGGAAATAGTGTTTCTACTTATGATTTTAGTTTTGCCCTAGAACCTGCAGAAATACTCCCTAAATTATCGTAAGAAAATTTAAATTGCCTAATTTACCGCACCTAATTTTCAATATTTTAAGGAATAATACCATTCATTATCTTCTTCAATATCAAAACAATACCATTGCGAAAATTTGAATATCATTTCACGATTAAAAATTTTGAGTTTTGTGATGAAGAACACTTAGTCTCATATGAATAACGAATATGTAAATAAGTAAAATATTATACCATTATTCCGATACACAGAATGAAAAACTTTTTCATTCCACACTTTTCTAGCTCTTTTAACCCTATCCTTTCGATAAATCATTAAAAAAAATTACATTTACCATATATTTATTTCAAAATTAATGCTGCCATATTTTCGGCATAACGGAGGATCTTACTAAGCCATTTGAGGTAGTATTTTTATTATTTCCCCTTAAAGGGCACACACAATACTTACTTGCTCAGCTATGTAGTAAGTGTAGGTGTCGCCTTGTCGATCCTTCCAGCAGCAGCGGAAGACCTCACCTAGAACAGGGTTGTAGGGCTTCTTGAGACCCTTGGGCTTTCTGTACAGACCGGACAGGTACCAGCGCAGCACGCACTTGAACCTTTGGTAAGGATCCTCCAAGGTTTGGGCCCTGGAAACAAAACATTAATAAATTAAAAAGGTTAAGGCGGCGGTGGGATGATGAGGTACGGGTGGAAGTTGAATCAAAGAAGAAAGCATGGTTAGATTTACTAGCAACCAAAGCTGGTAATTCTTCTGGTATGAATGATGAGATTGAAAGAAAAAAGGCAGAATTTAGACGTCTAAATAAGAGAGTAAAAGAAGTTGTTGAAAGGAAAAAGAAAGAAAGAATGGATAAGAATGATAGAAGGATATCTGATAATTTCCAGGCTAACATAAAAATGTTCTGGAAACTCGTAAGAACTGCCAGGGGAAATACAAAACAGCCTATAATAAATGCTATAAGAGACGAGAATGGATGTATTCTGAATGATGAAGTTTCGAATTTAAACAGATGGAAGGAATACTTTGAAAGCGTGTTTATGAGTGAAGAGTCGTATGAATTAAATGAACTAGAAATTCCGAAAGAAGTGGAAAGGGGTATGGAGATAAGTGTAGATGAAATAATGAAAGCAATGAAAAGCATGAAAGCAGGTAAGGCAGCTGGATATGATAGAGTATCACTCGAGATGCTAAGGGCTGGAGAGGGAGTGGTGGCAGGCCTGCTGTACACCTTGTTTAATTTATGTTGGGAATTAAAACGGGTACCGGATGACTGGTGTAAAGCAGTTATAGTACCAATATATAAAGGAAAAGGGTCACAGCAGGACTGCAAAAACTACCGCGGTATCAGCTTGCTTAGTATTGTGGGTAAACTGTATGCTAAGGTGTTAATTGAAAGAGTTATGAAAGAAACTGATGGAAAAATTTGGGATGTGCAAGCGGGTTTTAGAAAGGGAATGGGGTGCACAGATCAAGTCTTTTCCATGCGCATGATTGCGGAGAAGTTTTTGGCCAAAAACCAGAAAGTTTTTTGTGCGTACATGGACTTGGAAAAGGCTTATGACAGAGTGGACAGGAATGTGTTATGGCAAACACTGAACTCATATGGGTTGAGCGCTGGTTTGATACAGGCATTAGGGTCTCTTTATAGGGACTCTAGTGCTTGTGTCAGGATCAATGGGGTCTACTCGGACTGGTTTGGCATCCAAAAAGGTGTCAGACAGGGCTGTGTAGCTTCCCCTTGGCTGTTCAACCTATTTATGGACCGGTGTTTGCAAACTTTGAAAGATGAAGAATGTGGTTTAAGAATGGGCGAGTTAACCGTCAAATGCCTTTTGTATGCCGATGATCAAGTCATATTTGCGTCATCAGCGGCTGAGTTGCAAATGATGGTTACATTAATGAACTGGGAATTAAAAGAAAGGGGAATGAAAGTGAACGCAAGTAAGACGAAAGTGATGGTTTTTGAAAGAGAAGAAAGCAAAACGGTATGTGAAATAAGAATAGAAGGAGAGTTAATTGAGCAAGTGGATGAGTTTGTGTATTTGGGATGTGTATTTAGCAGGGATGGTAGATATGATAGGGATATAGAACGACGAGTAAATGCAGGGAATAGAGTGAATGGGGCACTACACTCTATTATGAAGAACCAGAATGTGTCAAAACAGGCACGTATGGTAATTCATAATGCTGTGTTAATCCCCACGTTAATGTATGGTAGTGAAAGCTGGGTGTGGCAGAAGAAGCACGAAAGTAGAATAAATGCTGTAGAAATGCGTTCTTTAAGAAATATGCTAGGGTTTAATCTGAATGACAGGGTGAGAAATTGCGTGATAAGAGATAAATGTGGTATGCAAGATGATGTTGTGACCAGGATTAAGAAAGGAATGCTTCGGTGGTTTGGTCACGTAGAAAGAATGAATGATGAAAGAGTGACAAAGCAAATTTATATAGCAGATGTGAACGGCCGAGTCGGGAAGGGACGCCCTAGAAAAAAGTTTGTCGACCAAATTGGCGATATTTTGAAAATGGGCCACGTTAGAAGTACCCTTAACCGACGAGCATGTATGCGTAGATATATGGATGTAAAGGAGGCGAAAGAGGTATGTCAGGATCGTGCCAAATGGAAGTCCGTAATCTCTGCCTACCCCTCTGGGTGACAGGCGTGAGTGTTTATGTTATGTTATGTTAAGGCGGTACCCCGACAAAAACCTTGCAAAAGTGCGTTTTTCAGAGACTATTATCTTATTAGTTATGAGAAATAAGCTTCATCTAAAAGCACACTATTAATGTTCGATATCCTATCATCACATTCAACGTTTGTTTGTTTTTATGTGTTATTAATACATTTATAATCTAGTTTTTAAAATGACTCAAATTATTGATTACATGCATCTGTTGCTAAAGGAAACGCTCTAATCATTAGAGGATTACACTAATAGATAGATAATTTAAAAATCTATATTATTCACGTTTTATTTAATTTCTTAAGTTCGCTTTTCTTTTTTAATTGAAATAATTCCAACAATTCGGGCGTATTTCTACGCGATATATTGTAGCGAGAGCGCGTGGATTGTATAGGACCGAACGCTCAAGGTCGTTCGCTAGGGGAAACGCCTTAAGTTGAAGCTTAAGGCGTTTCCCCTAGCGTGTTAACCGTGTAGTGGCGGTGTAAAAATATCCACTACCCCATATCGTGCCATGGGTGTCGTAAGAGGCCACAGAGGGAGACTGGAACAGGTGGTGGGCAGCAGCACTTTCTTATAGCAGCTCAAATTAATAAAAGAGCCTGTCGCGACTATGGCAATGTCCTTTCTATGAGGTAATCTATGGCAGAGGCCAGTGTCCAGAAATTGACTTTTAAAGGCTGTAATATATAGATGGATAGATAGCTGTTATACGACCTACTGCTGGAGGACAGGCCTACTCTCATTTCCAAAAGTTATGAAGCAAATACTTCTTATATCCTAAAGTAAAGTAAAGTAAAGTTACAGCCTATATACGTCCCACTGCTGAGCACAGGCCTCCCCTCATTTCTGGGAGGGTTTTAGGGCAAGGAAGTGTCCGCCGCGCTGCCCCAATACGTGTTGGCGAACTTCACATATCTTATAAATATTTTTTTCTTTATTCCTCAGACATGCAGGTTTCCTCACGATGTTTTCTTTCACCGCCGAGCACGTGGTAAATCAGCACTTAAAATTGCAATTAAAAATTTCATTGGTGCCGGCGGGCATCGAACCCGGTTTGCTCGCGTACTGTGAAATTTACTGCGAGTACTGTGAAATTTACTTATATCCTAGAAATACTTAATTTCTTAGACTAATTTACTGGAAACGAGGCATTCCATCTTAATCCTCAGGGATGACAACGCATCTGTATTTTGATGTCTATGAGCCACAGCATCCACTTACAGTAAAGTGGTTTGTGTACTCGTTTGCCGCCATTATACTATAAAAAATACATACAGGTTTCCTTTCGTCGTTTGCCTTGCCTGACTGTATTGATTCAACACGGAACATAGTATCATTAATTTCAAATATAAACATAACTAAAAATAATATGTCTTAAAAATATTTTTTGCGATTGATGACTAATTCATAACGAATATGTTCATTGTACATACACACTAGACATGTGTCTGGTAAAAGTATTGATGGTTCATTCATCTGTTTTTCAATGTTCCGGTACAAACAATCACAAACAATTAACGGAACCTTTTTAACTCTGACTGGTGTGAATTGTGAAAGAGTCGAAAACCGACCGCATACTGAATGATCTGAACGAATTGTTTTTCCTGTAGGGTACTGGAGCCCGTAAAGATCCATTTGAATGATCGATTCGAATTTAGCGGTACGCGTGACGAAATATACTAGAATGATTCGGTCACGAGAAATGAATGATTGACACATGTGTAATCACACACATAGAAGTGAATATAATCCGATGTGGGAAGATCTACACACACACGCAAGTACGCACACACGCACAAAAGATCGCGCGCAAGGACGCACGCACGTACGCGCACAGATACCTACACACCCTAGTTACATATTTGCCAGATATACGCTATTATGAGCGAAGCTGCTTTCTTTATTAATGTTCCTTTAATAACATATTATACAGGTGCCTCACACAAATTGATAACGCATTTGGGCTGGCTTCTGAAACACTCTTACACTAGTTCTGAATAGATAAAACCAAAAAAAAAATGCTTACTCAGCCAAAATATCCGCGTGGTAGTAATTGTCCGACAACTTATCCAGGAAGGACCTCGGCTCAAGGATGAAAGTGGGCAGCACCACTTTACTGAGGTCCATACCAGGTCGGACCTGCTTCAACAGGAACCAGAGGAGCGACTTGTTCTCCTCGGCCACCTCTTCAACTAATTCACCTGCCTAGTGAAAAAAGGAATATTCAAGTCAAATAAGGAATATTCAAGTCAAATAAGTATTATTATATTTATTAAAGTTTAAATATAACAATCTTTACGTGGCAGAACCACGCTGAAACATTAAAAGTTTTAGCATGACTTGGTTCTTTAATTCCATAAAAAAATTGTCCCATGACAGACAAGTAAAAGTAAAGTTAAAGTTACAGCCTATATACGTCCCACTGCTGGGCACAGGCCTCCTTTCACTTCTGAGAAATTTTTAGGGCAAGGAATTGTCCGCCGCGCTGCCCCAAATCTTCGCAATTTTCTTTTTATTTTCCAGATACGCAGGTTTCATAACGGTGTTTTCCTTCACCATCGAGCGCGTGGTAAATCAGGACTTAAAATTGCAATTAACAATTTCATCGGTGCCGTCGGGAATCGGACCTGGGTTACTCACGTACTATGAAACTTACAGCCAGAGCTAAGCTACCACGGCTCAACAAGACTTACAAGTACAGATCAAGACTGAACATAAGGCATAGGAATATTTGCCTTTTTTAATTTAAACGTTAACCCCACACTAGGATTTTCTCCCGTATCGTGGAGGTTTTGAAACAAGTTGTGAGTTTACACAAAGACAAACATCCAGACCCGGAACAATTATTCGTAGGCCATACAAATACTTGTATCCTGCGGGATTCGAACCCGCGGACCCCAGCGCAGACACTCATTGGTAAGCCACTGCGCCACGGAGCCGTGCCATTGTTGCCACGCTTAGCAGAGGGATTGGCAACCGCCGTTTTTTTAACTATTATTGTGTTGTTATCAGAAAGATGCTGCTGCCTATCTCTTACTTCTCTTTTCCTCTACCATCTTTTACGATACCTATTTTACGTGGTAGAGTAGCACTCCAGTTATATCAGTAGTATAGTTGTAGCACGAATGGGTCAGCTTGACCGGGGAAGGGCCGCGCTCTCACAGAATACCAGCGTGAAATAGTAGCTTAATGCAGCTGTATTTCGTATGGTGAGTGTGGAGAACCGGAGACCCTTTTTACTGGAAACGAGGCATTCCATCTTAGTCCTCAAGGGTGACAACGCATCTGCATTTTGATTTGTAATCGAATATAGATGTAGATGTCTATGGGCCGCAGCAACCACTTACCATCAGGTGGACTGTGTGCTCGTTTGTCACCCTATCCTATAAAAAATCCCTAGGGATGTTATGGGGTAGTGGACTCTACACCACGCATTAAAAGAGAAAAGGTGGTTCTATAACCTAGTAAAATTATCTACTCACCACACCAATCTCCCTATCCGGGTCTTCGACGTATAAGTTCTGTATTCTCGCTAGAATTGCCTGCTTCGTCGTTGTTGGGTCATCCTGGGACTGTGCATCCGCCATCCCACCTCGTGATCCCTCGCTGTCCGTATCCGACCCGGCACCCGCTAACTCTGGATAGGAGGGGTGGGATAGTGCAATTGGTTAATGCATTCTAGCATCTTCTAGAATCTAGCATTTCGAGCAAAGGTCAAATATTTTTATTAACTAGGTAACGTAAATTTCTACATAATTCTTCTAGCGTAAACTTATCTTCTAAAATACTGGCAACTTTCTCGTAAACACGTATAGCAATCTAGAAAATTCAGGCCTTATTTATAAGTTTTTTGAAATACGATCACATTTACAAAGTAATACGAAATCCTCATAGTTCATACTCCACGTAGAATGTAACTTATATTACGGAGTTAACTGAGTTTTATTTTAACTTATTATTTTAAAAGACTGAGGGCACAGTCCCCGTATGATCCTGGATAGGTACTGCAAACCGTTCGAAACGTCGGAAATGGAAAATAAGTTAAAATAAAACGAAATAAAAGAAGTAATAATGTGTTTTATAATTATAGTAATAATACATACAAAGTAATTAACTTGCTGTAATTTCTTTTACATTACAAGTATTGGAGTTTCTTCAAACTCAAAGATTCAATTAATTCTAAAGCCAAAATTGACAACATCAACAATGCGAACTAAAGCTCCAACAAAGCATCGTAGAAAGAACAAGATTTGAGTTTTCACAGCCGAGAGAAGAGGTAGGAGTATGAGTTTTCAAACAAACCACAGATGTCTGGAAGTCACAGAAAACTAGGGCACGTATTGATGGAACCCGCCCTATGCGTGTCAACCATATTTCGGAAGTGTTCAAATTTAGTTTATTTAAAAATATGAACCATCTGAGTGTTTGAATTTAGATAGGCTTTCAAAAGTATATATTTTTTAAGGTATAGGTTATTTCGGTTCTTCCCAGGGAGAATTTTTATTCGGAGCAGCGGTAAAAGCATAAAATAACTTTCAATAAGTACTACATGTAATTATGTTATCAATCTATTTAAAATATAATAAAAAATAGTGTTTGTTTATTCGTATTTTGTGATGCCATACCGTTTATAAGGTTGTGGTAAAACTAAAACATTGTCGACTTATTGTTTGCATTTGCACAAAGGTTATAGGCGTAGTACAGTTAACTTACAGTAGGTGGCGCGCATATAGGTAGTTTATTTTTTTAATTTATTCTTATATATGTACATTATTTATATTTTAAATTTTGCTAAACTGTAAGCCAGTTTCTCGGCAACGCAACAGTTTATCGTTTCACACTCCTTAATAACAATATCTGGTACCTATAAATACTTAAATTAACACAAAAATAATAAAAAAAAAACAATCACCACTATGTCACAACGACAGATAATGTTTCCTCAAGACGGATTTGAGCTACGACTTAGTTATACTTTCATCATATATATCCGCCACCTCATTACACAAAGTTCAAAGTCCGTCCAAAGTAATTTTCAGCCCTAGGTATGAGATATTTCCTCCTTTGAGTAATTTGGCGCTTCGGCATTATATAATTATGTCCTAGGTATCTTAAATGTTATCATACCATGCTGCTCTAATATGATAATGGATTTTACTTTCATGTCTATGGGAATCATTTTGCGAATTTTAAATAACATTTCATAATTTTTATCTAGAACTATTTTCGTTTTAGGACCAACTAATATCTTTAAGAATCTTATCTGTATAGTCTTCGTTTTGTTAAGATACTCGTATGTTGGGAATGTGAGTCCACATGCATCTAAGCCATATCCGATCGTTGGGTCTGCTAGGGCATAATACAGCATATACATGATTCCTCTGTTCACAACATATTTTATATGATTCAGTTTACCTTGTATTGCCCTAAGCCTATTACACACTAATTCAACATGCAACTCCCATGAGAAACGATTATCTATAACCAATTCTAAATATTTATAGTTTGTTACACATTGTAGCTTTTCGCAGCGGTAGACAGAGCTCGACTGGTCAGTAGGAACTAATTTATTTGAAAGTTATATATCATTCCATGCCTGGCGGGAGATCTCCCCTTTTCCTTCCACGGCCACAAAAGTATTATCATTCCTTATTAAACAATATAACTCTTCCGAATTTAAAACGATATTCCCACAATTATTTCTTCTGCGGCTGCAACGCGCCGGGCCTAGCTAGTTTTGCATATAAATTATTTCCATCACCTGAAGATTAGACCCTCGTTAAGATTAAATGTTTATCGTTAAAGAATTTTAATAGTTTCAAATTAATTTTACATTAAGAGAACTTAAAAATAGTTATAATAATAACCCCTGGGAAGGGTGATCGCTACCAAGCTATTTCTAATTTGACTTGTGTTGTTAATTGTAAATGGAAAAAAAATAGTCCCGCTGGGTTTCTTCGCCCGTGCGAAACCAAGGCGAATCGCTAGTCATTATATAAAAATCGATCAGAGGTTAATCGACTTTTTTGATTACTAATCTTCAAGAATAGAAATAGAAATAGAAATAGAAACTTTTTTATTCAATGTAGATTATAAAAATACTTTTGAAGGTTTTTTGGAGTGTAACACACATAAAAAATACGAGTACAGTCAGATTGATAGTCTAGGTAAAGTTGTCCCAATCAACTCTCAACTCTTTTATATTAATAAATAATCAACAAAATCCGAAAAGATTGTCCCACCACTATTTATTAGGAATCTTTTTTCCTAGAAGTCTTCCGAGTAGTTGGTACCTTTAACTTTTTTTTCTTACGCGAAATAGCAATACTTGCACTCCTGTGGCAGCGAGAGAGAGAGAGCCTGTATAATTAGAGGCTGTGAGGTATTCCATCTTAGTCCTCAGAGGTGACAACGCATCTGCAGTCTTTATTTTGGATTGCAATCCACTCCAGATGTATTTAAAAAAAACACGTTGTTTTAAGTAGTTAGTAGATTTTTTTATAAAATAAGGGTAACACACAGTCCACCAGATGGTAAGTGGATGCTGTGGCCCATTGATATCTACATTTATACTCGATTAAGAATCAAAACGCAGATGCGTTGTCATCCCTGAAGACTAAGATGGAATGCCTCGTTTCCAGTAAAAAAGGATCTCCGGATCTCTACACTCACTATACGAAACACAGCAGTATTAAGCTGCTATTGTACGCTGGTATTCTGTGAGAGCGTGGTCCTGCCCTGGTCGAGCCAAACCATTCGTTCTACAAACATAATATAGCTGCAGCTTGGATCTACCACGTAGGTGTAGATATTTTTAAACAAAACAGAATCGAAACCACATTTAAACACCAAATGAAAAGTCTATAGTTAGCATATGATCGAATCACACAGATAGACATTTTTTAAATTGGCCGATAATAAGACCGCTTAATCAGTTCATATTTCTGTATAATCTATCATCATCATCATCATCATCACAGCCCATCAAGTTCAACGCTGAACATAGGCCTCCCCCAAAGATAGCCACAAAGCATCTCTTACCAAGTCGTACCTCTAATGAGAGGTTGGCTTAGACTTCGCTTAACATCTATCAATATGAGTGAAGTGAATACCGACCTCCATTGCATCGTGTAAAAACTTCTAAACTCTTCTCGACGACGGCTACGTCGCCGTTCTGCAATTTTCCATAATCCGACAAGATTGCCGAGTCAATTGAATACTTTCTAGCGTATATTTCTTCACCTGGCTCCGAATACTGACGGGTCAACTTCTTCTGACGCTTGAGGAGGGAAAAGATGCTCGATCGCCTACGTATAGCTTTCTCTTTCCCTTTTACAGCGGACTTGTTTGTTTCGTTTTCCATTTTGTAGGCGGCTTTTTTAAATCACTTCTAAGGAATGGTATATAGTTTGTGATTCCTTCATCTTTTGTCGCTCTTCTTTATATAACTCACTTTAAATGATTAGATATGTGTAATATATACGTTGCCCTCATTTGAACTTATACTCTTTAATTTGCAATGCATTTTTATTTTTAAATTGCAGTGTGGTAGGGTCTACCTTTTATATTAATAAATAAATTTAATAAATTTATATTTTATGTGTAGTAACATTACCATAAGATAGACTTCTTATGGTAATGAATACAATACATACACAAACACAGAAAATATAAATTTAAATATATAAAAAAGCAAAACTTTGGAGATTTTTGGAGGAATCAAAAACCTTATAATATAAAGGGTACTTAATGATTATCTTAAATATAACTTATTAATAAATCCTACCCAGGCGCTATCAGGTCCTAGCAGGTTATAGCAGATAAATTAAAAGCCGAAGGCAATCCCCAGATTGATTATCGCATAAATACGTCGACTATCTCCGATAATAAAGGGTTGCCAGGTCCTACCAGGTTAGTTTTGTAATAAGACGGATAAATTAAAAACCCAAGGCGGCCCCTTGGTTGATTATAGCATAAGGACGTCGACTATCTCCGATGACAAAGGATTGTGACATCCGAAATTTAAATTAAGCTTAAATTAAACCCAAAAAAATTACTTAAAATTAGATTAAGTCAAAACATATTGGTATCAAATCAGGAAGGAAGGACATTCATCAGTCATAACTCAGGGTGTAATCGCTTTAAGACCGTGTTAATCATATGTAAGCTCTGATAAGTGATAATAATGGGTACAACACTGTTTGATAGGTGATCATATTAAAAAAATTACACGTCTCTTAGGAACTCGATGCAACCACGCTCTCACAGAATACCAGCGTAAAATAGAAACTTAATGTATTTTTTTTATAGGATAAGGATGACAAACGAGCGCACAGTCCACCTGACGATATGGTTACCGTGATCCATAGACATCTACATCTATCCTCGATTACGAATCAAAATGCAGATGCGTTGTCACCCGTGAGGACTTAGATGGAGTGCCTCGTTTCTAGTAAAAAGGGTCTCCGGTTTTCTACACTCACCATACCAAACACAGCAACGTTAAGCTGCTATTTTACGCCAGTCTTCTATGAGAGCGTGGTCGTTCCCCGGTCGAGCCGACCCATTCGTGCTACAACTATACTACTAACATAATTGCAGCATTGCTCTACCACGTCACGAATTTCAGATGGAACCGGAAACACTCTGTACTGGAAGCGAGCCATTGCACCCTAGACTTCATTATACGGTTAACATACGAATCGGGAGGCTTGGTTTGGACCACGCTCTCACAGAATACCGGAGTAAAATAGCATCTTAATTCTGCTGTGTTTCACATAGTGAGTATAGAGACCCGGAGTCCGTTTATAGATAGTGCAAACGAGGTTCCATTTTAATACTTAGGGGTGACCAAAATCTGTATTTTTATTCTTAATCTATTATAGATGTAGATGTGGCCACATTATCCACCTACCATCAGGTGCACTGTGTGCTTGCACTTATCCCTCTTATTTAATAATAATAAATAAAAAGGACACGTTGTCTTATAGATAAACTTGTAAAATATCTAGAAGTATTAATCTTATCGCGTTGTAATCTCTGATAACAGCGACGTAATAGCGTTTGCCGAAGGCTATACCACGTTTGCATATCGCTTGGGTTGCGTCAACCGTGTCCTTAATTCGACATAAAGCAAAGTTGACGGTATGTTAACTTCGAGTCATACCGTTACAGTTACCGTTACCGCCACAGTTACAACGTATTGAAGTCAACTGCTGCCACAGTTGTCATTCTTGACAGATGAATTGGCAACCGCAGTTTTTTCAATATTTTCAGTTATTCTGAGTAAATATTTTTTTATTATTTTTTTTACCTGGTAGAGCCACGCTGCAGCTATATTATAGTTGTAGCACGAATGGGTCGGCTCGACCGGGGAAGGACCACGCTCTCACGGAATACCAGCGTGAAATAGTAGCTTAATACTGCTGTGTTTCGTATGGCGAGTGTAGAGAACCGGAGACTCTTTTTACTGCAATCGAGGCATTCCATCTTAGTCCTCACGGGTGACAACGCATCCGCATTTTGATTCGTAATCGAGGATAGATGTAGATGTCTATGGACCACGGTAACCACTTATCGGCAGCAGGCAGTTTACAAACATAAATTGCACAAGGACAAACATCCAGTCCCGGAACAATTATTTGTAGGCCATACAAATACTTGTTCCGTGCGGGATTCGAACCCGCGGCTCTAAGCGCAGCCACTCATTGCTAAGCCACCGCGCCACGAAGCCGTCATTGTGGTCGTGATTGTGTCAATTTTGATTCTTAATCGAGGATAAATGTAGATGTCTATGGGCCACAGCATCCACTTACCATCAGGTGGACTGTGTGCTCGTTTGTCAACCTTATTCTATAAAAAAAAATAGATGCTGCTGTCCATAACCTGTATCAATTTCCCTCTGTCGTCTCTTACGACAGCCACGAAGCGATAAGGGGTAGTGGATATCCTTACTCCGCCACTACACGGTCCACTTCGAATTGACCATATATATAATGGATATTGGGATTCGAAACCAGGTCAACCCTACACGCGTCCCCAGTAAGTGATTATTTCGGAACTGATCTGTTCATTCACTCTATGATGAAGATTAATAAATAAATTATATCCTGCAGACCGAATTTCGGTCACGGCGGCCAGCCTCAACGGAGACTAGCCATCGGCGCAGGACAGGATTATAGTGCCCAAGTGTATGCGCAAGCACAGGTGCACTCTCTATTCCCTCACTCTCATAACCCGATGGGACGGTAAACCGACACGACCGGAGAGAGATCAGGCGCAGAATCAACGGCTTTACGTGCTTTCCGAGGCACGGGGGTGAGACACCACCAACTTCCTGACTACGGGTTGCTAATGAGAATTTACATACATATACATACATAAACACTCACGCCTGTCACCCAAAGAGGTAGGCAGAGACTACAGACTTCCATTTGGCACGATCCTGACACACATCTCTCGCCTTCTTCACGTACATATATACCTACGCATACATGCTTGTCGGTTAAGGGTACTCTTAATTTGGCCCCTTTTCAATAGATCGCCAATTTGGTCGACAAACTTTCGCCTAGGGCGTCCCTTACGGACTTTGCCGTGAATTTCTTAATGAGTATTTCTTGACAGAAAAACCTCATGATCAACAATCGTGTTCACGATCACTAGACCAACGAGGAAGCTCAAAGTCACTCAGCAAGCGATTGAGAAGGGGTTTGCTCGGAGTTTATCTGCGTGATAAAATCCGTAACGATTGATATTAAAATAAAACAACGTATTCGCCATTGACGAGTGGCACAGACTAAAGTTTATTCAAAACCATAGAACAAACAAACATGTCTACCGACAATGCACGGCAGATGGCAGCACTAGTAGCATATTGTGTAGATATTAGACCTTTAACAGATATCCACACAAGTACAAGAATAAATGAGACAGCCCAGTCGATCCCTACACTGATGTGGTAATGACCGGTCATATAGCGACCACTATACGTGGTAGCCGTATCATCCCATGTGTATTATAAGAGGCGACATAAAGAAACATAGTATGAGATGGACAGTCTGGACATCTACATCTCTATATTCAATTACGAATAAAAATGCAGCTGCGTTGTCAACCGTGAGGACTAAGATGGAATGCCTCGTTTCCAATAAAAAGCGTCAAGCTGCTATTCTACACCGGTATTCTGTGAGAGCGTGGTCCTTCCCCGGTCGATCACTCATTCGTACTACAACCATAATATAGATGAAGCACGGCTCTAACACGTACAAAGCATGCATCGATTTCGTTAAGGGTTGTTTTTCAATTATAAAAGGTGTTTATTGAATACAATACAACATAAACATATAAAAGTTACAGTTGGATAAATAGTAACTAGATTTTCAAAAAAACTTTGTTTTGTTTATTGATAATCAAGTTTTTTTTAATGATGTTTGTCGGCCTCTGTGTACAGGTTACACTGTGTCAATGTTTTTGTAACTACAAACTTACGTCATCGAAGTCTAACGTGAACCACACGCTACTCTGCCCGCCATTACGAGTTGGATGTAACGTATTGTAATATCGTCGAAACGTGATCAAAACGCAGCCGGTAACTGCTGGTTGATTGCATCGTGATTATGCCGACGCGCAACATACAACCCGTCCGATTTAATAATAATAATATCATCAATAGAATCAAGCGTTAATTTGCGCAAAACTCTTATATTAAAAACTAGCTGTACCTGGCAACTTCACCCGCGTGTGATATAAATAGTAACCTATGTTACTCCTTGTAACATCAGCTATCTACCAGTGAAAGTCCCATTAAAATCGGTCTAACAGTTTCAGAGATTCGCCGGAACAAACAGACAGAGGTTTATTTTTTTTCGCGGAACCCTAACTTTTTTCTTAAATAATAGTAACCTATGTTACTCCTTGTAACATCAGCTATCTACCAGTGAAAGTCCCATTAAAATCGGTCTAACAGTTTCAGAGATTCGCCGGAACAAACAGACAGAGGTTTATTTTTTTGCGCGGAACCCTAACTTTTTTCTTAAATAATAGTAACCTATGTTACTCCTTGTAACATCAGCTATCTACCAGTGAAAGTCCCATTAAAATCGGTCTAACAGTTTCAGAGATTCGCCGGAACAAACAGACAGAGGTTTATTTTTTTGCGCGGAACCCTAACTTTTTTCTTAAATAATAGTAACCTATGTTACTCCTTGTAACATCAGCTATCTACCAGTGAAAGTCCCATTAAAATCGGTCTAACAGTTTCAGAGATTCGCCGGAACAAACAGACAGAGGTTTATTTTTTTGCGCGGAACCCTAACTTTTTTCTTAAATAATAGTAACCTATGTTACTCCTTGTAACATCAGCTA